TTCCACCGAAACTGGGTGACTGCGCCCTACTAGATGTATGCAAAATTTATTTATTTATATTTATTTATTGCAACATCTCAAGACTCGGCGGAAACACCGGCCAATATTACGAGAGTGGGTGATTGCCAACCACGGCGATAAATAGAAAGAAGGGGAGGGAAAAAGAAAGAGTAGCAAAACGAACAGCAACAACAACTCCGTAAAGAAAGATAATGTCAAATAAAAACAGTGAAAAACACAGAGACGCAAAGGACATGTGGATAATGAGCTATGCATGTCGTAGTAAATAAGGGGCGGCACGGATCTTAAACAGGCGGAGTGAGGTCAGGTCCTTAACTTCTCTAGGTAGAGTGAGCCAAACTGAATAAGCAATAAAGAGAGGGGAGCGCAAAAGAGTGGATGAGTTACACTTAGGGAGTAAGAGTGAGTTTCTAGTTCTTAGAGAAGAGAACCAATTAAAACACATGAGATGAGGTGGGCACAACTCAAGCTTAATAGAATGGACAAGAGAAGCCAGGTGTGCACTGCGTCCATGTGATAACGGGGTTGTGTGAGCGATTTTATAAAGGGTGGATGATGAGAGCATGCGGGGTTGACGGAGGAGAATTTTAAGGATTTTCTTGTGATGTATTTCAAGCTTTGCAGCAGCGGAAGAGGATAACCCAACCCAAGACGTATCTGCATAATGAAATATTGGGCGAAGGTAGGCGAAATAAAAAAGAAGCTTGCAAGAAAGTGGGAGGTAGGAGCAGTGGGGGGAGAGAATTCCTAAGGATTTACTTGATTTTTTACAGATATATTCGATGTGAGGTACCCAAGAGAGTGCAGAGTCAATCACAATGCCAAGGTGTTTGTGAGAAGACACTATGTCAATTGGATTTGGAAAGTTGGCATGGATGAGGGTTGTGAACTCCGGCTGGGGCGGGAAGAGCATGATCTTTGTTTTTGATAGATTTGGGGACAACCTCCAGGACGACATCCAGGAAAGAACCTCCTGAATGCCAGCACGCAAGTTGTTTTTCAGGCCAGTGAGGGAAGCTGATGAGGTGAGAAGGGTCGTGTCGTCAGCAAACAGAGACGTTCCAGGGAAGACTGCAGGTAAGTCGTTTACGTAAATTATAAATAGTAGGGGACCAAGAATTGATCCTTGAGGAACGCCCGACAATACTGGCTCTGCAGCCGAGGATGTGCCAAGCACAGTTACGTACTGATAACGCCCAGAGAGATAAGATTTCAGCCAGGAGAGTGGCTGTTTGCGTACCCTGAATGCATGCTCGAGCTTTGCCAAAAGTCCTCGATGCCAGACGGTATCAAAAGCCTTGGCCAAGTCAAAGAAGCAAATGCCAGCAAGCGCTCTGTTATCCCTATGCTGGCACACCTGCTGCACGATGCGGGAAATGTCCCTAAAAGCACCATTTCGTTCTTATAAAAGCACGGATGACCGCGATTGGCCCATATGTTGTAGTCTTTTGGACGCTGAGTCGACTGGTTTTGGTCCGAAAAGGCTGCGATGCGGCGTTCCTCCTTTATTCCCAATCGAACATGGTTGAAGAAGCGGTCACGTGCTCCTGCGTACACCAGTCACCTGGTCACCGTGCCTGCGGGGTTACTTACTAGCCTGTTTGACCTTTTTTGGGTGCAGTCCTGTCACTCGAGTTGAACTCGAGTTGAACCTTGGTGTGAAAGTTGTCACCTGCTGGCGTGGTGACCAGGTGATTTGGGCACGCAGGACCACGTGACCGCTTCTTCAACCATGTTCGATTGGGAATAAAGGAGGAACGCTGCGTCGCAGCCTTTTCGGACCAAAACCAGTCGACGCAGCGTCCAAAAGACTACAATATATGGGCCAATCGCGGTCATCCGTGCTTTTATAAGAACGAAATGGCGCTTTTAGTGACATTTTGCATACAAATCCCCATCTAGTAGGGCGCAGTCACCCAGTTTCGGTGGAAGTGCGCGAGTTCGATTGGGATTCAAGTAGGAAGGGAGCGTCTCAGCTTCCTCGGACCACGACCATTCGACTCAGCACTCCGAAGACTACAACTGGTGAAATTTTAATTTTTGCCTTAACTTCCCCTTTCAATAATGACGAATCACCTCGTACTGTATACAATCACTAGCAGCACCCCAGCCCAGGCCAGCGTTGCCTGGCCGAATGTGGCATGCGGGTGAAGTAAGTACATGAACAGCACACTTGCTCAGCACGTGGTGGTGGCCAGACCGCTGAAGTCCTGGTGAGGAAGGTTCTTCATGGTTGGAAGGAGAAGGAGGGACATCTGTTACGCCTTCGGGAGGCTGGTCAGGGTTGTCCATCACCTGGTGGCGGATGAAGCGGCTCAAAAAATTCATAAACTTTAATACGAACAAAAGTGCGATGCGCTCTTCACTGCAGATCAGATGCAGAGTGCAGTCAGTGCAGATCTTTTGTATCCTTTTGTTGCAGATGTTTCTATTTGCAGAGAACGGTTCACGTGGTCCGCAGCGCTTGTGCGGCTGCTAGTGCTACCTAGTACCTATGCTGTACCTATACCACCTACAGCTACACTGTTCGCACGCTTCGCGTGCTCAGCACGTGGTGGTGGCTACACGATTCGAACGCTTCGCGTGCTCAGTGCTTCTGTGGCTGATTCCGCTAGCTACAGTCTACACGATTCGCACGCTTCGCATGCTCAGTGCTTCTGCGGCCGCTAGCTACACTGTGCTACACCATTGTAGTATTTGTACACTGTTCGCACGCTTCGCGTGCTCAGGCCAGCGCTGCTCCGCACACGTATAGCGCAGCGCTTCAGCGTGACATACACACACACGTCACAGGTGCCTCTTCTTTATAAGGAGCGTGACACACACACACACACACACACACACACACACACGTCACAGGTGCCTCGTAAAGATGTAGCATGCTGCACGTAGATCTACGTTAAAGGGGAAGTCCGGTGAAAAATTTAAATTTCAGGGTTGGTAGAGTTTCGGCCGCTGAGTCGAATGGTGTTGGTCCCACATGTCCCCGACAAAGCGTTCTCGAGATATTTCCGTTTGAAAAACTGAGTTTCGGGGGCTGCACCATGACGTCATGCGGCCGCGCCACACCCTCCGCAACGTCATAGCGTGCAGCTAGGTCAAAAGGAGTGCGTGAAAGCAATAGTACAGTCAGTGCTATTTCAAATGATTTGGCGACCCATAGTAGGTGGTGCAAGCGACTCCGAAGACGTAACTCCTTGTGAGAGTGAGGATGCAGCCATGGCTGACCTTCATGAGTTCGGTCTGGGGCTGAGAACCTCGGTATTCAGCTGAAGAAATGGCCGCGCGGGCCGGTCAAGAGTGAGCGCTACTGAGTTTCCGACTGATGAAGAAGCAGCAGCTATTGCAGACGAAGCCGATATAATTATCAGCTCGCTGGAGAGCAGAGTCGCCAAAAATGAAGAAGAGTGATGCGAGTGCTCTAAGACTAAATGTTGTTCCATACCGATTCGCTTAGACTCCAGTAACCCGCCACATGGTGATGTTTTGGTGCGAACTTGGCGTATTTCGGACACTCAATTGGAGAACAGTGCAGGCTCTTTGAACTACGTGCACGACTCTTCGCTCGCAACGCTACGGGATCTGAAAGTTCTAGGTTCGGGAGCTGTTCGCTGTTTTGTCACTTATCACGGTTGTGCACTCATCGCTGTAGCATAAAATAATGAGGCGGGAGCGTTCTCAAAGCACAACCACCACCGGCAAGGAGAAACGCTCGTTCTCTGACTACACGACTGACATGATACGAGTGTAGTACATGACAAGTCCGTGTGTTGACTAGTTTTCTGAGTCTTGTGACTCGAGTCTTGTTGTACATAGCCTAGTATAGGCCTACCCCAGCATGGCAGTGCGGGAGTAGTTCCGTGTGTGATGAGTTTGTTGACTACACTACACTCGTCTACAGGTAGCATGCACGCAGCGCATTGCTAGAGCCGTAGATAGAGGCCAGTGCATGTCGACGGAAAAAGTCCAACTCGGAAACGGCTAAAATACGGTATAACCTCGAGGTTTACCGAGCTGAAAATCACAGGGTACGTAGTGTTTGTAACACTGAATCGAATGGTGTTGGTCCGAAGAAGCTGCGACAAACGGTTCCCCAATCGAACGCGCTCCGAATATGGCCGTTTTTGTACACATCTAGATGGTGTGGCCACCTGGCTGCACGCTGTGACGTCATCACCTGGATCTGGGTGAGGCGCGCTCAAATCCGCACATGTTCGATTGGGCGTATCTGACGAACCATAGGCCGCAGCCTCCTCGGACAAAGACCATTCGACTCAGCGCCCCGAACTCTACGGACTGTGAAATTTAAATTTTTCACCGGACTTCCCCTTTAACCGTCGTTCGTGCACGACTGCACGAGCGATTCCTTGTCGTGCGATCGTACTAGTATACTACTATAAGTATAACAGAAGCCTTGCTTGGTAGTTAACATGTTTTTCGATTTTGACAGCATGTTACAAGGCGAGGACGCGTAGTGCTCCTGACTACAACCATAAACCGGTTGGCAGAGTCCCGGTCTTGCGACCATTTGAACCGTATTGGGAAAACCCGTAGAGTAACGAGGGTCCGAACCTGGGTTTTCCCAATACGGTTCAAATGGTCGCAAGACCGGGACTCTGCCAGCCGGTTTATGGTTGTAGTCAGGAGCACTACGCGTATACGCGTCCTCGCCTTGTAACATGCTGTCAAAATCGAAAAACATAGTATACTACTACTCAGGGAGTCGTAAAATACCGGTATTTTACGACTCCCTGCTACTACTACTACTAGATCTACGAGTACGATCGACAGTACTCGTACCGGTATCTAAAAAAAAAGCAAGAAGTTGCCTCTCGCACCTTGACCAGGGAGTCGGAAAATACCGGTATTTTACGACTCGCTGATCGATCTTGATCTGACTCTTTTCCTGCCGTTTTTTTGCGGCCACGTGTTCCAGCTTTCAAAAAATCTTGTTCATTTTTTGAACTCAACCTGAAATTTCCTGTGATATTCGCTTGCCTTCACTTCAGAATAGAGTTGTAGTAGTTTAGCTGACTTCTTCCTTCTCAACATAGTCGTACAGAGCCTATTTCACTGTTCATAATGTTTGGTCGTCTGGGCCACGTCACCATTGCCGGTGCGGCGATGGGAGCCATTGCTGCCGGAGGGTACCTGAGTGCGAGCAAAGAGAGAAGCTTGCTGGGAACTTGCTTCGCAGAGCGAAGTTTCCTGCCTACTGTGCACGCAGCATCTGTGGATCAGGGAAGCAGTACGTCGGCACAGCCAATCCCAGTACCACCACCTTCCTTCGTGCCGTATACTCATGACTTACCAACGGACAGTGCCTACATGAGAGACGCACCATTCCTAGGCGAATATGTTTACTGGGATGAGAACTGGGATAAACGTGACCCGGAATATATCCGAGCAAGCACGCCACCCAGCAAACGTGAGCCCGATGGACCTGAACTGCAGCGGCCCACGGCGTCACGTCGTATTATTCTCATCCGCCATGGTCAATACAACACATCGGCACGTTCAGATCTCGAGCGGACTCTCACTGACTTGGGACACGAGCAGGCCAGTGCGACGGCTGCACGTCTCGAGTACTTGTTAGCAGACACGCAGCCATCGCTGCTCATTCACTCTACGATGACACGGGCCGTGCAGACATTCCAGCCGTTCATCAAGGCCTTCGCCGCGGTCGATTCGAAGAGCTGCGACTTGCTGCGTGAGGGTGCACCCTACCCGCCGGAACCGCCATCCAAGAACTACAAACCAGCGCATTATGTGAGTATGGCCAAGAGTACATTAGACCCAGAGTGCGCAGCTCTGATGGGTTGTTGTCACGGAGAAATGCCGGGATGACATCATGTTAGTGATGTAGTGCTCACAAGCAGAATTCAAGCAGGTCTGTTTCTGCACAGCTGCAGCTCAGTTGTACGCACTACTCCACTTCCCTCCTCAGATCTGCAGCAAATAATTACGATCTACAAAATTGTAATCCTTAAATTTCGCCGTGACAGACACCCATGCAGAAAAAGTCCAAAGCAACACACTCTGGGTTTCATGTACTCTTGGTATCATTTAGGACTAAGTTGCTATGGTTACTGAGTGGGCGAACATGAGCGCAAATGATCTCAACTACTTACACCGACTAGCCAAGAATTTTCTGTTCGTAACACAACGTCGGTGTGATGCAGCTCAAACCTGGCCCTGAGATCGTGCAGCTGGGTGTTAGCGAGTTCGGTCTTCAGTGGGCGATTACTACAGTTGGGGCCATGGAAATCCAATCCCGTTCATAGCGAACCGCACCCCTTCCGGGCCCTCCTGGAGAGTCGGGTTGCATGCAGCATGTCCACATGTCAGACCATTTGTTCACGCTGCCACGTAACGTCGGGGATGACTTTGGTCCCAGCTGGAATACAGTCCATACTGGTAAATGCAAATAAAATCCAACGTTCATGGCTATAATCGACCCCAAGGTGGGTAAATCCTCATTTGCGTGTTTGTGAGTTCATACTTGCTGCCATTGCCTGTAGCGTGATGTGAGTTGATACATGCTGTGATCACCTTTGCATGTTGTGAGTTGATACATGCTGTGGTCTTTGTGGGACCCTGCAGCAGTTTCACACCGACGGAGCACGCATTGAAGCAGCTTACCGACAATACTTTCACCGTGCCGATGTAGACCAGAAGACGGACAGTGTGGAGGTGATTGTTTGTCACGCCAACGTCATTCGCTATTTCGTCTGCAGGTAGGTGTGTGTGCGTGTGTGTGTGCGTGCACGTGTGTGTGAGTGTTAAGCTCTCGCTGAACAAGAAGCACATGACCTTCGGCATTGTATACCAGGGCATGCCACCATGTGTGGGTGTGCATGTGCACTGTACTTGGGCTGCATACATACGATCTATTAGTCTGATTCATAGACACAGCTCTAGGATTCTAAGTTACACGTACTGCCTTGTAGATCTACTCGTCCTCGTATGTCGAGTACTGACCTCTGACAACTGAACCACTCACTTGAGAACTGAACCGCCAGTGTTGCACTGGGGATCTGAGCTGTGTTGTGAACCTACTTTGAAGTACCAGATGTCAAGAGCTGCTTTACTCGGGGCAAATATGTACAAAAATGTTTGATTCCATGTGCTAGCTCTTTAGTCTTTACTTCACTCTCTTTTTGTGTTTCCGTTGTGTACACGCACCCTGTAGGGCTCTGCAAATCCCCCCATCAGCATGGCTACGTATCAGTCTGGCTCACTGCAGCCTGACAGTATTGGACATTAGACCCACTGGACGGGTGTCGTTGCGTGCGCTGGGAGACACTGGACATCTTCCGCGCAAGCTCATCACATTCTCATGAGAGTGGATTGCTCTCCATCTGCCCGGGTTATCCGCACTCTGCACATTCTCATGAGAGTGGATTGGGTTCCATCTCGGTCACATCTATACACTGTATGGCTCCTCTTTGCACGTTCTCATGAGAGTGGATTGGGTTCCATCTCGGTCACATCTATACACTGTATGGCTCCTCTTTGCACGTTCCGAATGGGATACAGTGATATCTACTCGTAGGTCTTTTCGCACAACTGCCTGGTGCTTATATACACTATGATGTCACTATTGGGCAGACCAGCATGGCATAATGTCATTATGATGTCACTATTGGGCAGATCAGCATGGCATGATGTCGTTATGATGCAATAGGATATGCATAGGTAATGGGTAGGTGAACAGATACCAGTATATTGCTGTGATATTTACCGCCCAGCAATCAGTGTGTGAATCTTGCCTTCGCCAGACATAGCCCCCTAGCCCTAGCCATTGTTGAATTTCCCGAGTTATTTTCAACCCGGAAATGCACCATAAAACTATTGCTTCCTCTTCGCCTTTCCTGGGATTTTTTAATTTATTGCGAATTGTGTTCTGTCTAAATCAATCAGGACCATGCTAGATAACTAATTTTGTATACGCTGCGTTTTACAATAGCCCGGTAAATTCAGAATTTGTGTTGCGTAAACGTAGTCTACGTCTTTTTCCATTGTGCTGTGATCCTTACGTGTTTGGTTGGGTTGAGGGTATGGTCGTAGTAGGAGATGGCTTCTTGTTTAAAGCCTGATTCATACTTCATTTAGCATACGGGAAACGCGCCGCGTCGCGAAAAAGTTGATCTGAGGTCAACTATTTCGCGTGCGGGAAAGTCATTGCGCGACGGTGGCGCAATACCGGTAACTTTCCCGCACGCGAAATGAAGTATGAATCAGCCTTTTGGCTATTCCACGAATCCCATATCCCCAACTCTCTTTCTCTTTCTCCTCTCTCCTCATGCAGTGCAATGCAGCATTCCTGCAAGCATGCATGTGTCATGTAGGCATGCATCCACCACGTTCAGGTCGACATTAGATGAAGTCAGCGATCAGGATCAACTTGTAAAGAATACGCGGAACATAATACAGTGCCTTGCAGAACAAGGCATGTTCTCTTTCTCAAAGAATTATGGTAGTATATGAAGTACTATTGTCTAAAGCACTATAAAGTTACAAAATTACAAAATTACAATCATGATGGTGTTATCTGATAATGATGTTGCAAAAGAAAATGAAAAAAGAAGCTATGCTATTTTCTATCAAGCCTGCATCGTAGATGTGATTTCTTCTACTTCAAGTTCTAGTACTTTGAAGTAAGTGCATGCAGGGATTGGCGAAGTTCCTTTTCAGACAGAGCCTGCAGCAACAGCACATTGCCACTTGCGTGCCATCAAGCCCAGTCTTGGCCCGGGAGAATTGAGTCTATTTGTCACGGTTCTGATCAAGCGGGTTGCTGACAATCGACCCGTGGATCTCCAGGAACAGTGGTACATAGGTCAAGTAATCCAAGAACTCCACCAGTCCTTTCTTCTCCCGATTCAAGTGATTAGTCACCTGCGCATAGCACACATTGCCAGTTACACACTGAATTACATATAAACTGTCAAAAATTGATTGAGAAATGAGGTCGAGTTTGCAGAGTGAATGGGAAGAGAGCAAGTCTGCTCTGAAACCTTTTTTCCTACTCTGAATTACACTGACACAATAGAGCGCTTCTTAGGGGTGGTCGCAAAAAAATGTTGTCGTCCCCGAAGCGAACATGATTCGTTTGGCGGAGGGGTGCGAGCCCAAATAGCAAGTCGACCGACACTGTACATAATGACATGTACATGCATGCGATTTTCGTCGTCCAGCATAACAAGCTGTGTTCGTTTCAGAGGGAGGGGACGGGGTCGGAGTACGAAACAAACGATGTTCGTTTCAGGCACGATAGAAAACCTTTGCGACGACCCGTTAATGAGTGCCAGCTCCACTGCACTGTGACTGCAGCCACTTCATTACACAGAAAACCCTACATCATCACCAAAGCAAGTGGTCTCTTTGGTGCAAATTTCTATTATCTCAATGAAATTTTCGGTAATAGACTTCTGGTGCACATCTATCATACGACCACACAGGACAGCCATGTTGGCTCCCACTCCAGCCAATCCCTGCATCAATAGGTCACATGATGTTGGCGATGTTGATTCCTATGTCCACATGTCACGATCACATTCTAGACAAACTTAGTCACATGACAAATACATGTGAGATCACTCTATACAGGCTCGTGATCATCTCGTTCACCAAATACGATGTCAAGTCACGCTGTGCACTCTTTCTTTGTGCCTTGATCCCGGCTTGAGGGTGGTGGCGTTCGTGCAGATGCGGAAAGCTCGGTCTCTAGCCAAGTCTTACACGAACCGTGACTTTCTGTGCATTATTTCGCCGGCTCGTTCACCCCCAGTCCCCCCCCCCCCTTACATCCCCAGGTTGTCCATCGGCTGTGTATCATACATTGATGATCACAGACAGCGGACAGCTCACCAGGCTGACATGCTCCGGTGTCAATCCACCAGCAGTGAGCTCTATGGCCAGGTTTCCAGTCGTGACCACTCCACCCCGGTGCTCCATGTCAGCTAGAAGATAGAAGAGCTCCTGTAAGGAATGGGAAACGGCATACAATCACAGGATACAATCACAGGTGTTTAACACCGCCGTTGGAGGTGGTCCGGTCGGAAGGGGGTCCGGGGGTTTCCCGCGGGGAAATTTTGAAATTTAAGGGTGCAAACATCCTGCATTCTAGGCACTTCTGGGCGAAAAAGTGGTCCGGCTTTGCATGCAGGCGGACCGGCTGCTACGCCCCTGAATCAGATTAACACCAAACCAGGTTCAGTGGTGCACTTAAAACCAAGACTAAAATAATAAGCAGCCCCAGTAAGGTACTACTGTAGTGACGTTAAACATGTACAAGTGCCCACCCACGCCGAAGTTTTCATACGATATCCCTCCACTCCTGGAAATAGGTTCCCAAAGAAAACGCTCCACTATTTGCTCTTGTACTGGTACGTTGCGCAGACACATACAGACAGCGTGGATGCATGTCTAACTACATACCGGGGTGGGTGCTCGCTTATGATAAGCGGTTTATGACACTTTTCTGCACTGTCCTAAGTGTCAGCTAGGCCAATACATCTGGCAATTCACACAGAGTGCAACGCGAAACTGACCTTAACTTTCTTCATTTTGACCTCCAATGCTTCAAAGTCCATCTTGTTCACCAGTTTCTTGACCATATCGCTAACAGTGAGACAAAGAGATACGCCGCATAAGCACTTCTCAGTCTTGAGACCATGATGAGCACACGTTGACCAGGCAAATCGCCAGGCTGCTGTATTCTTGTCTGAACTAGTTACTTGTCCAAAGCACCCACACTCCACAGTATGTATTGTCTAATGGTCAAGAAAACAGGATATTGTGTATATCGTGGCTACGTTACAAATAGTAGATGGTGGGCAAGAGAAGTGTAGCAAATTGCCACCGTTGCCAAAGTGTCAGATGATAATCTTGCAGAGTGTGCAAGTGGGTTGAGCTGCAACAAAATTCAAGCATTATTTTAAAAGCATAGCATCCCAGGGTTTCCAGGCACTAAAGCATTGAAAGTTGTACAGCTTGCAAGAAGATCCGAGTGTAACTGCTCTGTGGACATTATGTGTCCGTTGCTACCACCTGTGTGCGTACTGCCATGAAAGGCGTTCAGATTCTGCAGCAACCGAAGTGACGCACTCTTGGTATTATTAATCGCATTTTCGCGTCAATGTCAGCAATTTCCAAAGGATAAATGCCCACAGATTCGCATATGCTGAATGGAGATGGTCTGTTGCAGCCATAAAGTACTAAAAGAGGCCAGATAACGAGTGGCAGCAGAGGAAAGAGAGAGAGAGAGAGAGAGAGAGAGAGAGAGAGAGAGAGAGAGAGAGAGAAAGAGGAGCCCGATAGAGCAGATACAGGTGATTCATGCATGGATGGATGGCATCACCCACTGTGGCAGTCATGTGCCTGTGCGTGTACTGGGTGACGTGTACTTACTCCAACATAACAACTCTTTCAGATAGTGCTGCTACCAAACAGTACAACTTGAAGTCAAGCTTTGGTCGATGAGCTAACTCCAGCACCTACAGATGTTTACAGCCAAGAGACAACATTAGAATATCATTATCTGGAGAGGTAATCTGTCTAAATTTCCCCAAAGTTGCCTCCCTACACATGTGCAGATCAATGAAATGCTGAGGCTCAGTATTAGTTATCATCCAGCTGCATGCTGGGGGCTCAAATGGGCACATATCAGCATCCTGGCCTGCTTCCACAAAACCCTTACCCCCCCCCCCCCCACACACCCACAAACCCACCCGGTACACTCTCCCAGCTCCTGTGCCCATAGTCCTCCATGCTCAACAGCAGGGGCGTTGGAAGGTAATTTAGTGTGATATGGTCAGCCATCTGAAGTACAATTTACTCGTGGGCGAGGGGTGGCTGAGCCGAACATTTTGGAAATTTAGAGCCCAAATCAGTGCATTTTATTGATTCACGTGGTACTTGGGGCAAATAGTGGTGCGGTCAATACCGTAGTGACCGTACCGAGTGCGACACCCCTGCTCAACCTCAAGAAAAAATGTTGGAACAGACCGGGAGATACTGTGGCTTTTCTTACTAGTCTTGTATAGTATGCATGTACATGATACACTGGTACTCACATGGAAAACAAAGTCCATCTCCGGATCAGAGATCAGCTGGTTATTGACTGCTTTCAGGGCAAAATCCAATTGTTCCAGATCTATCTCATCGTCCTGCAGGAAAAAGGCGCACATGCCACAAGCACACCTTGCGTTGGATACGGTGCATCCTCTGAACTCAAGACATGAATGAATTTTGGGAGACACAGCACACGGCAAGCCTTAGTTAATGGATGGCAAAGTATTTGCCTGCACATGGCAAGGACCAAATGTACCTGCCCTCCCCCACCTCCCCAGAAAAAGGGTCATAATACCCATCTTTACCAACATTTTGGTGGAGAACTGAAGTTCACAAAGTCATCATGCATTGGTCAAAGCTAGTACACCTACCATACAGTCCACACGACTACATCACATGGGAAACTGATAACATAGCATAGCCTATGGAACTTAGAAGCTAGAAGTGATGACCAGCTCACCCCAGCCATTACATACACCAGATGATGTCATTATGATGTAACTATGATGTCACTCACCTCGTCCAGATCCACATTGTTGTAGATGCGCTCATAGGTTGGAATTCTCTCTTGACTGCAGGAAGAGAACAGGGAAAGTCATGGCATACATTTACCCATAGTCAATGTTGGCTTCAGAGGCTACGCGGCTATGATATCATTGTGGCAAATTTTGTGGAGTGGCAGTACAAGCTCTGATTCATCACCCCATCTTAAAAGTGATGACATCAGATTCTAAGTCAACAAATAGCGACGAATAACCACTTCTGGCTCAACTCTGCCCATAGCGAAGTACAGTACAATATCATTCATATTGTGGGCAGGCCACCCGTATCGCATGCTGGTGTGCATTTTCAATCCTTATGCCAGGGGTAGGTCCTCAACTTGGAGGACCCAGGCCAGTTGTTTCTGGCAGATGCGTTACCCTGCTGTAAGGAAAACCATTCAAACTTGAATGAATTTATATACTGTACAAAACCTGGATCCAACTAGACCCAAGAGTCATATATCATTATGACTCCTGGCTGTGACATAGCATACATTAACACAAGCATCTGCATGCCGCACTCACACAACGAGCAACCAGTTTGGGGAATAGGAGGGTTTGTCAATTGCTTTGCCAGGCTCCGAGTGGGTGACAGCTTAGAGCTGTGTGAATGTGTGTGTATGGCAGCTGGGCAGGGCCCTGCTGCGGAGGCTGAGTGAGCCGTATGGAGGCAGCCGGGCAGGGCCCGGCTGCGGAGGCTGAGTGAGCCGTATTGAGAGGCTGAGTGAGCCGAGGCTGAGTGAGCCGTCTGAGTGTGAGAGGCTGAATGAGCCGTATGAGGAGCCTGGTAAGCAAGGTTGACTCCCCAAATAGAGAACCTTCTATTCACTGTTAACTGTAGAGGGGGTGCCACAGATTGTGGACAATAGTAGAGTGATATTGAGTTACTGAGTGTACAGTCGGTACATAGGTGACATTCGGTTATGCTCTGGCACCCACAATAAGTGGGCTCAGTCTGTCTGATCAGCGCTTACCCAGGACCGGTGCTGCCAGCTTTCATGGCAGTTTGCATGTGGACTTCCGTCACTCGGCAGTGCAAGGCACGGCCGAAGTCTCCCCAGGAATGGACGGAAGAGCACGCACGGGAGTGGGCATGTGAGCGGCGGTAGGGTGGCACGAATGGAATCGCTTGAAATCTTGCCTGGAGAGAGCGTCAGCAAGAATGTTGGTAGTTCCAGGTATGTGACGGGCGGTGACCATAAAGTTACCCTTGGCGCAGATGAAGAAGAGCTGCCGTAGGAGTGACATCACATTAGGGCAGCGACTGGTGCCAGACTTGAGAACAGCGGCGACAGCTTCGTTGTCGGTATGGAAGCGGATACGCTTGCGACACCACTGGTGGCCCCATGTAGCACATGCAATGCAGATGGGATACAGCTCCTTGAACGTAATGCAGAGCGGAGTGTGTTGTGGTGACCAGGTGTCGGCGAACCAATGCGTGCCGTAAACTGCGCCATGCCCAATGGCGCCAGATGCGTCAGTTTCTATCAGGATGTCGCTGGCCAGCGTCTCCTGGAGATCGAGGAAGAATGACTTGCCATTCCAGCCATCGAGTAGGTGAGACCACCAAAAAAGGTCCAGATGACATTCTGGAGAGAGACGGATGCGGTGGTAGGGCTTGGAAACGTTGCGCGTGGCATCATACAGTCGGCGCATGAATGTACGGCCCGACGTGATGACGCGGCTGGCAAAGTTCAGCTTGCCCAACAGCTGTTCAAGCTCCCGTAGACGGCAGGATTGGTGTTGGCGAAAGGCCAATAGTCTGGAGCGGATGTCGTCAACCTTGTCCTGTGGGAGACGAGCCACTTTCTGGACGGAGTCCAGTTCGATGCCCAGGAAGGTGAGACAGGAGGTTGGGCCGACTGTCTTTTCGTCGGCAATGGGAACTCCCAGGTAGCGGAATACGGAGAGGACTACGTTCAGACGCTGCGCACATAGCGTTGAGTTTGCAGGGCCACAGAGCCAGAAGTCGTCCAGAAGGTGCAGGAGGTGGGGAACCTGGAACAGTTCACAGCTTATCTGGCAAAGCGCGTCCGCAATGCAGTTAAACAAGTAGGGTGCGGACCTCAGCCCGAATGGCAGTACTTTGTCATAGTAGAATTGGCCCTGCCACTGGAAACCCAACAAATGGTATGCAGTGGGTGCGACCGGGACCAGTCGAAATGCATTGCGTATGTCGAGCTTCGCCATCAAGGCACCGGTACCTTGACGTTGCAGAAGCTCAATGGCATCGTCCACTGTGACATAATGTAGGGAGAATGAATCCTTGTTTATTCCATCATTGACAGACATACGGTCAGGGTAAGACAGGTGGTGAATGAGGCGGAATTTCCCGTTGTTCTTGGGCACTACGCCGAGCGGAGAGCATACAAATGGGTGGAAAGGCTGGACAGGGAAAGGACCGGCCGATTCGTCACGTCGGACCCGGTCAGCAATTTGTTGTTGTACAAACTGAGCATGTTCAATGGCAGTTGGGAGGTTGCCAGAGATGATAGATACAGAAGCACCAGAGTGGCCAATGGGGAACCCGTGTTGCAAGCCATTAAGGATAAAGTCAGAGAGGACACGACTAGAAATACGAGGCAAAAGAGTCATTAGGCGGGCTATGCACAGAGGCGTGGGGAGACTACTTCGCTGCGACGGGCTTGTCTGTCTGGCGGGGTCCCCGGCGACCGGCGTTGGTGCAGCGAGCGGCGGGATGACCTCGGTCGCCGCAGGTTGAGCAGACGTGCAAGCGTTCACAGGGCTGGTGTTGGCATGGGCGGCCACGGTTGAAGTTGAGGCAGATCTGGCGGGTGCTGCCCGCCCCGGCCAGAAATGGCTGCGTAGGACGGCTGGTGTTGGTGCCAGCTGGAGCATGTGGCCCTGCCAAATACTGTGGGCAACGGTCACGGCTGTGGTGCGTTGTGCAGCGCGGACATGATGGTCGGGGTGCCCGGATCAGGTGCAGGCTCCAGAGGCTTTGGTCGATTGCGTCCCAACGAGCCGAGGTTGTTGCCACCGCTGCACGGAAGGCACGGTCATACCCCAGTACAGCTGGGGTCGCAAACTGCTGGTTGGCAGTACAGATAATGTGCTGGTACGTCACCAGCTCCAGTGCTCGGAATGGCACATGTTTCAGTGCGCAGGCCATGTATATTGTGTAGGCTTCCAGCCAGGCAGTGAAGTCGACGATGGAGCGCTTCTTAGTCACACATAAATTGAGGGACACACGCCGGCCCTCTCCGTTGGCGGTACTGAGCTCCAAGGGCTCGGACCCTGCACCCACATTCTCTGGGAGGAGATCCTCCAGCTCAATATATTCGCCGCGTGTGATTTTGTCAAGCAACTTACGCGGGACCGTGGGAACAATAGAGCTGGACTCACGAGTGTTCGCCATGGGCGCTGCGATCGGAGGCAGCGCGGGTTGCATGAGGGAAATGTCCATGGGGCCGGAGTCGACCTGCGGCGGGTGATGGGTGACGGTGTTGGACGCGGTTTGGACCACATCTGCCACTGAGGGGACCGCCGCCTGAGCATGGCCGTCCGGATCCTGGCGAGCTGAAATTCGCTCCTCAAGGCGCTTGACTCGAGCCAGCAGGGGGTGCAGGGCAGTCGACACGGCCGCCGTAACGGAACGTGGATTTAGGCCAGTTGTGGTAGGCTGGCCGGCTGGGGAACGGCGGACGGGATATCGTCCTGCTCCGCACGGGCATTGCCGGAACGATCGGCCGCATGGTCCGCAGGGGCTCGATTTGGAGTGTCGGCATACGGGGACGACGAGGCGCGCCTGCGACTGGAACGCCTGGGCCCGGGAGCCGACTGCTTACGTGCACGGGGCATCTCCGTGAGCTGTGGTAAACCTTGAGATTGAGGTTGAGAAAGAAATCCACTGCCAATGCGGACAAAGCAAGAACTGAAGTCAGGAACAGTGGACTTCGGAGAACAATGAGCGTGTGAGAGTTTGTTGGGAACAGAGCATGCGCCTTCTGTGTTAACATATTTTTTGCGCGTGCGCAAAAAATCATCTCTCAAACCCTATACAGTGAGTCTTCCATTGGCTTTCACTACACTAGACTTACTCAACAATGCAGTACTTTGCAAGATAATCCAGCGGGTCAATTCCTACAGAGGTCCAGCAGAACAACAACAACAACAAGGCGATGGTGCCATCGTGAGAATAAAGAATTCAAACAACAACAACAACAACAACAACAACAACAACAACAACAACAACAACAACAACAACAACAACAACAACAACAACAACAACAACAACAACAACAACAACAACAACAACAACAACAACAACAAGAGTTGCGGCAGGGGTGGCAGCAATGGCGGCAGAGCCAACAACAATATACGTGCTCAGTCAGGATTGTGGTAGGCTAGTGCAGTGGTACGGATATAACAGTAATCAACCCCAGCTGTTTCAGGTCCCAACTACTGGTAGTAATAATTTTACTACTCCAGCCCGGTGAACAGCTCACAAACACTGACTCTGTTACCATGACAGCAGATATGAGAAACACAAGCTAAATGGGACAACAAGAGTATATAGACCAAGGACAAATTCCACGCAGATATCCCGTGGTCAATGGGGGTGAGAGATGTGCATAATTACAAGTATGTCGCAAAAATTAATAGCACTACACAACAATCTACTCAGCGGCCTGACGAGTACCCGTCACTGGAAATGCGACAAGGAAAGTAATGGTATTCTAGTACTAATGAGCACGTGACTCTTCACTGGTATGCTACTAGTATGGGACGTTTAGATTTACCTTTCAGATCTCGCCAGTCGCACTCCTTAGCTCCCATACTGTCTTTGGGTTTTCGCTCGTACTTGAACTTGCGTCTGCATTGCACAGCAGCACGGGATACAGCATTCAAAGGCCTCCACCACAATACGAGGACATCTGGATTTTCAGCTGAGGATCTGGCCAAGCAGTAGGCAATTGAAGCCAGCTAGTAATAAAGGCTAGTGACCGTTTGTGACATCCCCTAGAAACACAAGTTCTGTGACATGCAATCCACTTTGTATAGGACAGAAGACAGAAAATGACATGCCATAGTTCTGTGACATGCCATTTGACTCAGAAGTTCTGTGACATGCCATAGAAGCACAAACCCTCACTGAGTTACACATTCACTGGGTAAGCACGGATGCCAATATGGACATAAGAGTAGCAGGTGATGTCTCGCGCCACTTACAGCTTATGTCGAGATGTTGGGTCAAATTCTCCTTCGTCATCATACTCCTCATCTGATTCTTCCAGGGCATCACTTCCAAGACCTGCTTTCTTCTTTTTGCGCAATGTCTGTTCAAGTATATGTACATGTAGAACAGAATGTCAAACTGGTGTGCGTGAGGGAAAGCTTCGAAAATGCACTTGGACCTCGCTCTCTATATCATCTTCTCTTCTCCCACCCCATGTCTCCTTGTCCTGGCACACCTCAGGCTTGGCTCCTTTGCTTTCCCCTATTCGTCTCTTTCTTGTCAGGCACTCTTTCAAATTCCACTCAAAAATCAGTGTTGCATAAATGCACACTCAGACACACACACTATCTTTCTGGCTGTCTGCCTGTCACCAAGGCCTTCACTCAAAGTGAAGCAAATGACATTGCACCAGGAATACCTGGTGCCTGGCACGGCCTGATCATTGAGTATAGACCAAATCAGGCCAAACACGGAATCATCATACCAGACACCGTGCAAGATCAACAGTACCTACATCTTCAGCTCTGGGTGTTGGCGGTGCACTCTTCATCCTGCTCTGCATCTGGCTGTTGCTCCTGGGACTATTGGGGTCGAGGTTATTGCCATCGGTCGAGGGAGATTTGCTGCGACCTCCACGGGCGCTGTGAAAACCACCGCCCTGAAAAGCCAAACCAGAGAAAAGAATTGAAAAGGTATCTCCAGAGCCACTGTGTTCATCACAGCCACCTTCCTCACTAACAATTGAGCAAGCGATGAACGCAAGTCAGATACACTTTTGGTATCTGGTTCTGAGGTTAGTAAGAGCCTTGGACAAATACCCATATATTTGAGCGTGTAGCTCCTCATTTGTCAGCTGCTCCAACTAGATTTTCGTCTCCATTCTGTTTACCTGGGAATGCAAGTCTTCATTATCTCTATCTGCGGTCTCCTGGCTCCACTTGATGCCACTCGGTACATAGAATGTGTGGAGGAAAGGTGTGGTCAAAATTTGCATCGGCACCGATGGTGTGCTCTTTTGGGGAATTCCACATCTACAAAACTAGCCACCTTGCACACATGGAAGACAGTCTACTGCTGCAGTATCACGTGACCATGAACAAAAAAAATCAAACTCTAGTTGAGATCTTGCCTACCTTGCAATCCTCAAGTGAGTGTCTTTGTGGAAGGTCTCATAATAGTGTATGCTAAGCCGCACAATAATCGGAATTAGCAACTTCAGTCAAATTTTCCTTTCTCGCAGGTCCACTCACCCCATCGTTGTCGAGCTTGTGTCTCTGACGGAGTGTGCGAGGGCCCCTTCCTGTATACACACGGACACGGACACGGACATGCACATACACATACACATCATGCACACACACATATGTACACACGTGCGCGTGCAAACGCACATGTGGTGGAATAACGTTGAGACCAGACACATTGATCAAGCTGGCATTTCACCTGACAAGGAGTTGGGCAATGGCGGCCAAAGTACAAGCAAACAGCCATACACACGTTGATACTGCAATGAGTAGCCATTATAGTTGCAGACCCAAAATCACTATCGTTCCATACTTTCCAAATACTCAATCATGATAGCAAAAAGAATACTGAATAAGTGAGTGTGAGCAAGAGAGAGAGAGACTCGGAGAGAGGGAGAGAGAGAGAGAGAGAGAGAGAGAGAGAGAGAGAGAGAGAGAGAGAGAGAGAGAGAGAGAGAGAGAGAGAGAGAGAGAGATAGAGAGAGAGAGAGAAGAGAAGAGTGGGAGAGGGAGCAGAGCCCATCAACCATGTCCTTACCATCCTTGGCTGACGGTGGTCTCAAAGTGTTGCCTTGGCCAGATGACTGGCCATCTATACACACATGCAAGCAGCACAAATACACATTGCATACAGGTCCTGTGTGGTAGCTACATGTATATGCCATCTGACCTGGGTTTTTCAGTTTTGCAGGTGGTGGGCTCTCTTGATTTAAATATGGATGTGAAATTTGAATACCTGCCAACGTTTACAAACCTGAGATCGGCACAATGACATATCTAAGTATGGAAATGTATTCAAATGCAGCTGTGAGGCTAGCGATAAATGCAGTTTTGGGTGCCTATTACCACCCTGTATATCGGTACGTTCCCGGCCAAATAGGGCTGGTTGGCAGGTAAGAATTTTACCTCTACAACGTACATAAAGGGATGTGAAGTTTGACCTCTACAGTGTACTGTACATATATGGATGACAGTGTGTTGCAGTACGCGACACTAAACAGTTCAAACGCACAGAACGCATGCCGCAACGCTCACCTTTGCCATCATCTCCTTCGTTCCCGTCGCCACCGGATCCTTTCGGCCCATCGTCACGCTCCGCTCGGTTCCTGCAGGAAACATGCGAAGAGAAATGATCAACATTTGTAGTTTCACATAGCATAGTGTCAACCTGGTGAATAACAAACTCGGTTAAAACAACAATTTGTAAACGACACAATCGTTGGACCCAGTGACCATTTGACTGCATGCTTTCAATATCACAAATCACGACAAACTCATGAGCAACGATACATTTCTCCTGCACGATCAAGGGTTGTCATTCGCAAGATGGACTGCACTTTCCCCCACTGTCTGGTGCAGGAGCGCAATGTGAAGGTGCTGAAGTTTCTGATTATGAAGCGGCTGATATATCTGCTGCAACATCTCATTGTGTGATTGAATCACATACCGCATTTTCGGCAGCATAATCTGTACTGGAATATAAACCGCACCAAGATTTGCTCACACAAATACCAACATCTACCCTGTCTACAATGGGTAATTAGACCGTCCTAGTATAAGCCTTTGTTTGGGCGAATTACCGGTGTTGAAAGTGCGGCGTTTACTCCGGAGAACACGGTACCCCTTAGAATTTAGTCGAAAAAAAGAATCCCATTATGAAGCAAGAAAAGAGAAACCAGGCTAGTGAAGTGAGGTGAATGCACTTATAGCAACGCACACTTTGACGGATGGTCGCGGTGAGCCTTTGCCACCTCCTGCACCGCCTCTGGCTGACGGCACTCTTGCCTTGCGCGTGTCTGCAGTGCTTTGCCTTGCACTGGGCGGTCGGTTCTGCACAAGTAGCACAATAGCACAACAACAGTATACTGCAGAGTAATGAAGTGAGTTAGAGAACAGATTATTACAACCATGCAATACATCTATTCTTCTTGGTGCAGGTAGAGGTGAATCCATCCTTGTAGGATGATAAATTAATTTTATGACTACACCATCAGTGTCTTCTCTAGGATTTCAAACCAACCGGGTACACATGTACCTGGCAAAACCATTGTAGCCATGTCAGAGCCAGGTCCGTTCAATTGCGGCTACTGCATGAATTGTACATCAGGGAGTTGTACATCAGGGAGTTGTAAATAATTTAGGGCTCACTCATGTACATGTATTATTGTATTCTCAACCGGGTCAGGTGACCCAGCATTCTTTTTCCAAACGGGTCCAAGTACTCCCCCCCCCCCCCCCAACCGGGTCGCTGGCCCGCCTCTGGCCCAGACGCTGCATTATACTTGTACAGTGAAGCAGCTCATGGCTCAGTATTAGCATCACTGGCCTACAGTGCAGTTCCCGGGATCAGTATTAGCATCACTGGCCTATAGTGCAGTTCCCGGGATCAGTATTAGCATCACTGGCCTACAGTGCAGTTCCCGGGATCAGTATTAGCATCACTGGCCTATAGTGCAGTTCCCGGGATCAGTATTAGCATCACTGGCCTATAGTGCAATTCCCGGGATCAGTATTAGCATCACTGGCCTATAGTGCAGTTCCCGGGATCAGTATTAGCATCACTGGCCTATAGTGCAGTTCCCGGGATCAGTATTAGCATCACTGGCCTATAGTGCAGTTCCCGGGATCAGTATTAGCATCACTGGCCTATAGTGCAGTTCCCAGGTTCGAGTCCAGGCGGCGGCAGAACAAAATTCAGACTCTTTTCTTCCTTTTCAATTCCCCAGCTTCTGAACACTCTCCGGTATGAAAATTATTTCTAGGTCATCGCCATCAGCTGACATTCTATGATGGTCATCCTACTGAGATAAGAGTCGTTGAATATCCCCCTCTTGCGCCTCAATACCTCCATCCATCCCCGAGACAGGAAGAGTGCACAATCAAACGCCATCTTAGAAACTGTCCACATGTTCTCGAAGGAGCAATCCACTCAATATCTGTAGAGAGGTTGGCTGTAAACATCCCTGTGCTGCATTGAATGCTGCTTAGAAAGGCCACATCACAAACCATTGTACCGTATTTCCCCGAATATAAGTCGCACCTTTTTACACTAAAACTCAAGGGTAAAAAAAGGGGGTGCGACATACAATCGAGCATGACTCACTAATACTGAAGTCAATACATCAAATCAATATTACTCAAGCCTGAAAATGGGGGTGCGACTTATAATCAAGTGCGACTTATAAACAGGGAAATACGGTACATGTAGACTGACTGTGAGCCTGAGCCAGCACATTATCAACCAGCTTCACTCTACTGCGATTCGCTGGAGCAACCCACCTGTCCAGTTGACACTGTGGAACGTCCAGTTCCTTTCTCATCACCACCTCCGCCACCAGATTGCACAGCTGATTTCTGCCGAGATGCCGCAAGCCGGGCGCTTTTCAAGCGCTCCGCATTCCCATCACCACCACTGCCATCGTCTTCTGCATCACCACCATCATCTTCGTCAAGTCCATCCCCGTCTTCGGGAATTGTTTCGTCGGCACCTCGCCGCGACGACGTTCGTCCATTCATCTCGTCCTCTTCCTTGTCGGACGTAGTGGAGATCTTCCATCCAGCACGGAATCCGGTGCCAGGCCGACTGCGAAGCTTCAGCTCACCACTATCACCTGGACAGAAGAACAAACAGCACGACGTACAAAGAACAAGGAACTCAACCTTCTCTGATGAGGTCTAAATGACCGAAACAGCTGAAGAAGGAACTAAACATATTTTAAGTACTCCAAAGGAACCTCTTGTTGCTGCTGTGGGGAATGAACGTGGTCGGCCGCAGAGCACGACAACGGTGTTGGTGGTGAAGTGGACACAGAACCATACAAAGAATACACAAGAAGAAGGACGAAAAGTTGCAATTTCGGAACTCCGAGGTTCAAGAATTGAATCGATCCTCACACGAAAAATGATATTGTCTTTACCCAAAGAACAAACAGTACAGCATATACCACGGTGATCATGCATGTATAGAGAGAGGGGGGGGGGGACCAAGCGGTGTTGTTACTCCGAGTTTCACGTTACTCCAAGTTTCATGCTTCACCAATCAGCACTGACTACATGTTCCTAAAGGATGTGATTGATATGCTACAAGTACAGTGCTGATAGGTATACTTTGAAGTACAATAGACTGAGGGTCCACTGTATAGTGGCATGCCCTTCCCACTTCCCACTAAGATGATGTCTTCTCTTTTTGGCGTTCTAAACTGGATACGTACTGGTGAGGTCTTGATGGTTCTCGCATAGGTATGCCTTCTGCCGGTCCGTTAGATCTCCAGCTTCCAGTATGACGTAGCCTCCACCAACGCGTATCACAGTGCAAGAACTGCAACTGCAAGCACATACAGACATTATACATACACCATGTCCATCACTAAATGAACACATACTGTATCAGGGCTAAAATGTCTGGAATGATTCTGACAGAAACTTGCGACTTTGAAAGTCATTGGTTCAACTGCAGTGTGTCTATGAACGGGTAAGAGCTGTAATCGGGACAAACTGATTGCATAGCCCTAGGAATTGTGTTTTTAACTCTGCCAATCGCAGCAAAATGTAATACTCCAGGTAGGCTCACCGTCCCGCTTTGTGTTGGCATCTCTCACACGGAACCCAAAGTAGACCGTCACGTTTCTCCACTGTTGTGTGCTTCTCCCCGAAGGACACCTTGCCGACAATGCTCACGTACTCTGGCTGTGCATTCCGTCTCTCCTGCAGTCGCCATAGGAAGATATACAGAGCAGAGACAGATGATCAGAGTACTGGACTGGACACAATACATTCTCCATGGAAAGACCTATAGAGGAAGTACAGATCATCAGATCAATAAACTACACATGATCCTCATACTCTACCGTCTGAAGGTGTCCATGGATAGTGTCTGCGAGGTGCCGCAGTACAGGCTTTTGTGTAAAAAAGGGTGTCTGATTTATCCAAAGGATGTTGCTTTTTCTATCTTCATTAGCGCCCAAGCTGTCAAACTGACCGGCATCAACATCTGCGTACACACATCTAAGTATCGGGAGTGAAGTATTGCGGAGCGTGGTCCTATGCACAGGCTTATCCACACACTGTATATGATACCAATTTACTGTGTTGTTGTTGTTGTTTCTTTATTTTACTTCACCGTGTGTATTTCATTCAAAACTAATTTCACTACATAGGAGGTTGCCTGGGAAAAGAGTGTACTCTATACTTCTTTCGTATAAAAAATGCAAATTCCAGAGATGTGAACACGTTCAACTTGTCATCTAGTAAGATTACCTCCAATCTTGCTTGCTGACTGGCTTGCCGTAGTTGTGTGGATGTATAGGGTGAGAACGGAGTTCTCTGCTTGTGCGGAAAACAGATGGAAATGTAGATGGAAATACAGATGGAAACAGAGATGGAAATACAGATGGAAACACAGATGGGAATACAGATGGAAAGACAGATGGAAATACAGATGGAAACACAGATGGGAATACAGATGGAAATACAGATGGAAATACAGATGGAAATACAGATGGAAATACATGGTTTAGCATCAGCAAACTGGAGATAAAGCTAGTTGTTTAAGTAGTTGCTGGACGTGTTTCATGGCCAATGCTTGGTATTGCAGTCATGGCGTCATTCTGGGATTATTTCTATCTTTTTATACTGAAGTATTGCTTTGCTTTGCTGTACCCTGACTGTGCTGGTAAACTTGCGGGCATAGCATCATACACCAACCAAGGAGCAAGTCGGTGCCAATGATGCACCAGTGAACATGGATACTGGTAGTAGTCGTCGCCGAAAATATCCGGCCAGTGCCAGTTGTATGGTACACGTTCACGGCAGTGCTTGGTGGCATGCATGCATGCATTTACTGCAGTCTGTACCAGCAAAGCACTGAACAGTCTGCAGTGACTGCAGTCGAGTGCAGTGACTGCAGTCGAGCACTGCACTGGAAGCAGGCCATGCAGGCCCGGAAGCAGGGCATAGCCAGTGCATGCGCCGCATGCACTGGCGTTAGTGCATGCGGCGCGTGTACAGCTAGCATGGCATTGGCCGGATTTTTTGGCGACGACTTTGTAGTATTCAGAAAGTGTGACCTACTGGAAAACCTCTGCATTTCCACATTGTCCACCGATGTGCATAGTTGAGTTCATTTCACCCCTAGATTTTCTGGTGCATGTAATAATCGCTGGCATGATGTATTCCGACATGCACACCACACACCACAGACCACAGACTCAGTGCTATTCGCGTTCGAAAGCTTCATATCATCGGGCCAAGGGTACCGGGCCAAGTACGATATGCAACAAAAAACAACAGCTGCCATTGGACGATGAAATAAAATAAATAAATAAATGAACAACAGATCTACGATGTTACTCTTTTTCTTTCTTACCGTTGCGCGAGTCCCGTGATGGGTCGCCTGAGACCTCGGTGTTTGCCTGCGCGAGAGATGCGGCGGTATGTTGTGTCTCAGCGGAGGCAGCTCATAGCCGTACTGATCGCTAGGAGACGAAAATGACACGTTAGTCGGAGGCGGCTGCGAGGGTAGCCGCTTCGACGGCGACTGTCTTGAACGGGATTTCTTGCTCTTCGCGAAAGTTCTGTTTTTGCTACTTCTTTGCGTGCTCGACTGCTGATAGCCAGGTGTCGTGACGTAGTCGTCTTGGCCTGGCATTTCTGCACCCGGCGGAACGGGTGTGGACGTGTGAAACCTATCCCCACCCGCACCCTCCTGCTCATCATACATTTCCGCAAACTCGACTCTCTTGGCTCTCTCTTCTGCAGCTTCAACCTGGCCGACATCAGGAGCCGATGCAGAGCTCATCAAATGAGCAGACTGCTTGTCCGAAGAGCGGGTTTCCAGCGAAGTTCCTTCCAGCATTTGGTCTACTTCGACTACCATGACCGGTGCTGCCGCATACACCTCTGTCCCTACAGCTGGCGGGCCATCGCGGTCACATGCTGAACTTTGACCCCGCGTTGCCGGCGGACCGTTCTGCAGCAAAAACGAGAACGTAGCTCGCAAATCGGACCGAATACCGTCGATGATTTCCCGATCAGCACTCTTGTCCACTCTGATCGAACGTGACATAGGCGGGTGTTTCTTCTTGGTTGGAGACACGGTGTTTGGCGGTGTCGGCTTGCTCGACTGAACGCCTTTGGCAGGCGGCGAGCGAATAGATGAGAAGTCTGGCTGCGTCGGAGCTGTTGCTGTTGCCTCAAATGCCACACCATGGCCGACAGCGAGGCCTTGCCGATTGACTGGAGTGAGAGGCGGCAATATCTCGACGTTGCGTTGCTGCTTGGCACCAAGCATTGCTCAGCTAAGCGAGGACGCGTAGCGCCAGTCCCTATCTACCAGTATTGACCGTGATCGGTTGAAAACATCACAGTTACTGAGTTAGACCAGCTAGTGAATGAGTGGACAGAGCACTCACCTATCCTAATACTAATAGTGGTTTATTGGCATCCCAGCCGACCTGCCGTAGGAAACCGTACTCACAACTGACAATCCAATGAGATACAGGTATTGGCCAGTAAGCCAGTGTTGTTGAACAGAGACCTCAGTTACCTGTATCACCATTCAGTGGCACACAACCGCTCAAATCAACCAGCAACAACCCAACTCTCCTTTCTGTCTCTCACACAGTGTAAGGTCTAAAGCGTCAGTGAGCTTGACACTGCCACTGGTCCCTTTCTTTGAGAGAGTTTTTGTCTCTCAAACTTTACACGGATTGACAGGTTGGTGGTGGTGTTGACTCATTTCAAGTAGATCTACATGTCCTGGACCTTGGCCTAAGGTATTTAGATCTACTTGACATGTGCCCATTCCTAACTACATACCGGTATTCAGTCTACACTACAGTGATTTGGTATCCGCACTCCCAACCATCCAGCGAAGCGGCAGAAGTGACAGTGTCACCGTGATCCTGAGAATCGGTACAAACCATGACGTTTCCATGGCAATGCCAATAGGTCTCCGGCCGGCCCGACCTACGAGTCCAAGGAACAGTCGCAAAATCATGCAATGCATGGTAGAATCTACTGGTACAATGAAAGGCAAACACCAAGGAGTGAGTCAAAACACTGGTCTCTCTTTTGTTGCATACATGACTTGTATTGATCTGATGCTCATCGCTCCCTTAGCCCTTATCATTGGACAGTTCGGTGCGCTCGGTTTGTGAATTCAAATTAGTGAAAACAACATTGAACAACGACCAAAGCGATGACGACGACGATCGCAAGGCCAACTACAACAACAACAACAACAACAACAACAACAACAACAACAACAACAACAACAGCAACAGCAACAGCAACAGCAACAGCAACAGCAACAGCAACAGCAACAGCAACAGCAACAGCAACAGCAACAGCAACAGCAACAGCAACAGCAACAGCAACAGCAACAGCAACAGCAACAGCAACAGCAACAGCAACAGCAACAGCAACAACAACAACAACAACCACAACAACAACAACAACAACTACTACTGAAGCTCAACTGATGAGGGGTGAATTCCCCGAAGCACTGTGTATTGAGCAGGGAGTGATGCTTTCCTGCAGGTTTGCCCAGTGAACGGTTCGATGGACTTCTAGTGTGCTCTGGATGGCAGTCGTGAGTCAGTCAAGTGAGAATTCAAGTCGGCAGGAAAAGCGCGAGCTCCCATGCAGGGAGCAACACGCAATTCCACAACATGTTTGTAACGTGTCAATACAAGACTACAACAGTGAGTGATACAAGTAGGCTTTGGGTTGTCGTTTTGCTTTGGGTTGTCGTTTTGCTTTGGGTTGTCGTTTTGCTTTGGGTTGTCGTTTTGCTTTGGCTTGTCGTTTTGCTTTGGGTTGTCGTTTTGCTTTGCTTCTCACATGATGGTTTCACGGGATTGGCAGTTTGTGAATACAACATTGTCATGTTGACACATACTCAAGTAGGAGCTTTAAGGTGGAACTACCAAGTAATTATCATGGCGAAGCACACAACTAACGCTGGATTGTGATCTAGGAATTAGTGCCGTGATAGACATTATCCACTCAGAAAGTGATAGACATTATACCGGTTCTATTCTGGCATTGTACTAAGACTTGGTATTAATTTTTGTATTCCGATGGATGGGTTCACCACAGACCTTAGCCTTAATCGAGGGAGCCACCGGACAAATTGATATGAATGACTGCGGTCTGCGGGTTCAAGTTCCTTGCCATCAGCATTTCACATCTCCGATCAGGGGATGGAAAGCCCTGTCTGTCCCCTGGCTGTCGGTCCACTCAAAAAGGCAGTTACATACTAGTACTGCCTGTTTGGTACAGTAGTCAGCTTCGCTAAAGACGACTGCGGGTATACAGCTATATGTAAGGACAATTCGCGAATAACGACAGAACTTCCATGCCCAGAGCAAAGTCCCATCTAACTCTAATACATTATTAATGAGACTTCGGGTATAAGGACACTTCGCGAATAAGGACACTTTTTTGATACGCCGCCGAGTGTCGCTATACCCAAAGGCAACGATATTTTGGTAATTGATATTACGGGAAGCAGCTAGCTCATCTTTCAACATACATGTACATGACTGTACCCTACTTCGAAGTAGTCATAACCATTCCGTTATGTTTCATGTACCAGTATATCTACATGTACATGTACATGTAGTAGTCAATCTGCGGACAGAACTGTTTCGTCCTTTGTAATAATAATAATAACTTTATTAGGATGACCCAGAGGCAAATCGCCTATCGAAAGGGTTCACCGCGTTGAACGGTTGTGGTATGACAAAGCAAAGAGGCAACCATTGTGTGTGTGGAGGGGGGGGGGGGGGGGAGTTTCGAACTATGCACAGTGAAGGGATAATTATTGTATGTACATGACCAAGGATAGGGTATACCGGACAAAGTTGCCATTTTTGGGAGCAACGGATTGGGAAGCATAACAGTATTGTGGTAATGAGTGCAGTTGTGGACTCATCAGCGCAGCCCAGAATAAATGAGGCCGAACCTGGTAGAAATGAAAAATAAATTCCAAAGCCAGATTTAAACCAGGCCCAAACGTACCTTGCCAGAGTGCTCAAACTGACAAGTCAGTGAGCTCTGCATGTGACGCAAACAGCAAAGGCACAACCCCACACATGAGGGCTCAACTGCTACAAGAGCAGGAGCGAATACTCAAGCTGCGGACAGAACTGTTTCGTCCTTTGTGGACTCATCAGCGCAGCACAGAGGAAATGAGGCCGAACCTGGTAGCAATGAAAAATAAATTTTCCAAAGCCAGATTTAAACCAGGCCCGAACGTACCTTGCCAGAGTGCTCAAACTGACAAGTCAGTGAGCTGTGCATGACGCAAACAGCAAAGGCACTACCCCACACATGAGTGCCCAAACTGCTACAAGAGCAGGAGCGAAACTCAATCTGCGGACAGAACTGTTTCGTCCTTTGTGGACTCATCAGCGCAGCACAGAGGAAATGAGGCGGTTGCCTGACAGGCTGTTACATGTATTGTTTTAAAGCTGTGTGCAGCTTTTAACCATGCACAGTTATCGTATACGCTGATTCCGGTGATGTGTACAAACGTATAGCGTAGAGCGTATACCCACGTCAGGACCTTGCCACTAGGCAGTAGGCACTATTGCGTCCAATGACGTACTACGCACTTAGTTGGACAGCGCTAGCGGTGGTGACGAAGAACCCACACTGTGTGTATGTGTTTTGGGCAGTCCACGCCAACCACAGTACGTACATCATTCATCACCTTCTCCTGAATGAACATCGACCTGCTCACTGTCACTACTTGGTTCGGGTGAGAACAAGCAGGGGATGGCGGCAGAATGCGAGCATGCACCTGCAGAGATAGGCGCTATTGTCGGTCAGACACCAGTCGTGAAGGAGAAGCCGCTATGTGTTCGCATCCTAGAAATCTTAGCACGGCTGTATAATGGCATGCCGGCCATCACTGCCAAGCAGTCACCACAACAGGAAGTGACCAGTCCGGTCCCTCCCCAGCCCGAACCACCCGAAACTCAGTATCGGCACAACCGTATCAACCTACCGGACGGCAGGGCAGTGGACGTCGACGACTATTTCCGAATCCCTGTCCTGGAACGCCTGGAGCGTGAGCCTTATTATGGGTTCCAGGGTAAGTCGTGAAGCTCAAGTGCTGACTGTGAAACTAGTATGTATTAGCGCCTGTTTGTTCTTCGCCTCTAACACAGGCTGTGTACATGAAGTAAAAATCAAGCCGTGTACTGTGTGGTGTTCTTGTCCGATGATACATTCATGTGTTTTGTTACACTGTGTGTACTCCCTTGGCTTCCTGCAGTCGGAGAAAAGGGCACTCTGGAACACTTGTCGACAGAGGACCTTGAGTTTCTGATTAATCATATGGAAAGCGATCTATTCAACCTGCGGGACTCGCGCGATCTAAATGAGATCGAGTTTCAGGACCTGCGACGGCGATTGGCGGATCTTCAGCGCGACGAGGTGTATTTGGCGTACAGAGAGCGAATCATGAGCAAAGAGCATCGGGCGGTTTTGGAGGCGCAGGCGTCCAAGGCCGAGTCCAACTGGCAGAGCTTGCAAGACAAGACGCGAATCGAAATCCTGCAGTCCAAGCTGAAAGCAGTCGAGTCCACGAGTAAGGTGCAGAGGGAGCAGTTAAACGCACTCACCCAATGGCAGAAGGTATATCAAGATCAGAGCCAGGCATACACGGTACTGAATGAACAAGCTGCTGCCATGACCGGGATATTCCGCAATATCTGAACAATCAGTCCTTCTTCAAATCATTCATTATGCCTTTCTCCCTTCTTCTCGTCTACCGTTCGTACAGAATCTACATACTATTTCCTACTCTGATGTTCTCTACAGTTCGTTGTATAAAGGGCTAACATGTATTCGTGTTGACTCTGTGGACGCTGTGGCCCTGTGAAACTTTCGTGGAGACAAATCTAGATCTCTGCTGGCTGAAATCCGATACTTATAGCATCAATCCATGTCCAGTGGCCGGCCTGTCTCGTATTGTAGTATGCTTTCGTTATTCATAAAATACATGTCATTTTCATCATAACCCTATCGTGGATCTAACCGTTCAATGGATCTATTCATCTACCGAATATAGCCTGTTCAACTCTCTCAAACTAGTGAACATCATCTTATCTACCATTTATCCTTCTCCCTTTGTCATACCTTCATTGCATATTCTTCACCTCTTATTGAGTGAAGTTGGTTGCTCCAACGAGGAGCACACGCTTCTTGCCGAACTTGACACTTGACTGACTCACGACTGCCATCCGGAGCACACCAGGAGCACGTCGCACCTTCCGCTCGGCAAACCTGAAAGAAAGCACCACTCCCTGCTCAATACACAGTGTTTCAGGGAATTCACCCCTCATCAGTTGAGCTTGAGTAGGCTGAGGAAGATTGTGCCTGAAAAGCACCACTTATATACTGCTCTCCAGGCCAAACCATCACCAGGGATACAAACTTACAGAGACGCTTTGTTTCCAGCGCGACAAACACCTCGTGAAGCCCCAGGTAGCAGCGTGAGTCAGAGTCGCTCATGGAGTTGTGCTAAACAGACGTTGAGAGCCAGTATAGCTATTCGCAACGCTGTCACCTCCAACAACTAGTCGCACGTCCGCGTGAGGGACAACAATACGAACTTAGAAGTTGCGACTTCGGCGGTAATGTCATGAAGTTGGTTGCTCCAACGAGGAGCACACGCTTCTTGCCGAACTTGACACTTGACTGACTCACGACTGCCATCCGGTTGGAGCAACCAACTTCATGACATTACCGCCGAAGTCGCAACTTCTAAGTTCGTATTGTTGTGAGTCAGTCAAGTGTCAAGTTCGGCAAGAAGCGTGTGCTCCTCGTTGGAGCAACCAACTTCATGACATTACCGCCGAAGTCGCAACTTCTAAGTTCCTCTTATTGAGTATTTTTTAAATACGTACAGAAAACGAAATTGGTCTCTCCTCCCACAAAATCTAAAATTCTGCCAATGTTACAATACATTCACACAGCTACTGCAGAATGCAACATACTATGTAGTTGATATCCAGCCCTGCCCTAGCTCCCCGCGCTTCTCTTACTTTTCAGTTCCCCTTTCATTCTTTTTCTTTCTCCCCTCTAGCTCTCTTACTGCCATGGCTGGCTATCGCCCACATCACCATTTCATTGGCTAGTGCCACGTGATTGTGAATAAATAATAATAATAATAATATGTAAATAGGCGTCGAGGCGACAATAGTTTTAGAATTGCGATCAACAGAACGAGCTGAACCGACATTTTCACAAAGGCTTTTATTGTATTCAAAAAAACGAGTGGATACGAAGGCAGTGAAGAACATGGAAGAAAGAAAAAATGTGATATGGAAGAAATGATGAACAAAAAATTGTACTTCGAACTAGTTTTCGCACAACACTCCTCAGGAAGCTACGTTGTACTAATAAAAAACAATCCAGAAAGATACTAATAAAGAGAAATGGAGTGAGAAGAAACAACACCTATGAAAATGATAATCCTAGCACTAAGGTAATAACAGGAAAAACTGCGAAAGCACTTTTAAAACGAACTTGTAAGGACTACTAGTATACTGTGACACAAGATATGACACCATGGCCAACCAGAGCCAAACAGACAGAACAAGCTGCTACTAAAACAATTTCAAACGAATAATGCTGTCCTTCTGGACACACAGATTAGGCTTATGAATACGTTGACAAACAGCTTCTAACACACTCAACTGCAACTTATAACCATGACGAGCACGGCACAAAACAGAAAAAGAAGAATCAGAATAAACCTTGCAGCAATCAGGACGAGAAGCAAGATGCTATACACTGATGACTTTCTACTAGAAAACACACGCTCGCACCCACTCTTACTCACGCAATCATTCTCGCTCTCACACTCACCGGAATCACTGGACTCACTGGTCGAATCCTCCTCAACGATGTTCCATGTTCTTCACTGCCTTCGTATCCACTCGTTTTTTTGAATACAATAAAAGCCTTTGTGAAAATGTCGGTTCAGCTCGTTCTGTTGATCGCAATTCTAAAATAATAATAATAATAATAATAATACAAAAAATGTATTATCTACGCATGCATCTACGCAAGATTCACCACCAGCCAATTAGGACATGTGTCAAAGTATTGAACGTTTTCGTTCCCTTCTTGTCAAAATACTACAGGGAATGATGGAAATAAGCTAAAAGACTACAACTATAAGGAAAATAAGTTCAGAAACATATCACTCCAATTATGTGTAGAAGTGACACGAAAAAATAGATGTGAAGAATCAAGAAAACAGCATGCAAAGAGTGATATGTTTCTGAACTTATTTTCCTTATAGTTGTAGTCTTTTAGCTTATTTCCATCATTCCCTGTAGTATTTTGACAAGAAGGGAACGAAAACGTTCAATACTTTGACACATGTCCTAATTGGCTGGTGGTGAATCTTGCGTAGATGCATGCGTAGATAATACATTTTTTGTAATATTTTCTGCCTCCGTCCTGCTTTCAAATAATAATAATAATAATAAATTACCAATAATGAAGTCAATTGCTCGAACTGATGCCAATTGCAGGCTTTGCAAGGGCAGCTTAGAAACAATTGACCACATTGTCAGTGCCTGCCCAGTTCTTGCTCGGACCAGTTACATTGAACGACATAACCGGATAGTAAAGTATGTGCGCTTCGAAATGTGTAGAGCACGAGATCTACCTACTGGTGCTTCACGCTTCGACCACCAGCTTAAGGCATTGGTCAAAAGTGATCGGTATCGCCTCTATTGGGAGTATTCGGTCCCAACTGACCCGAAACTATCAGCAAACAGGCCCGATCTGCTCCTTGTTGATGACAAGGAGCGCATCGCCTACATTATAGACATCAGCGTTCCTGGTGAGAACAACATCAATGAGAAAATGGCTGAAAAGCGCTCGAAATATTATGATTTGAAGCGGGAGATTTCCAGGATTTGGTCCCTCACCCAGGTTGACGTGGTCCCTGTGGTTGTCGGTGCCCTGGGAGGCTTGGTGGGAGAGACTCCTCAATGCCTTCGGAGCTTCGGACTGTGCAGGGAGGAGACCTGGCTATTGTGCAACAGGAGGCTATCCAAGGTTCGATTAAAATACTAAGAACTATCCTTAACATATAGATGCACCTCTGCTGCGTTTGCATGTTCAATAGCTAAGAGACTTGAATAACGACTGATACAGACTGATATTCTTTGTTACTCCCTTCATTGGTTGATGTACTTTGCCTGTCGCTGCACATTCTTTATTATTGTTTTGATGTTGGAGCTCGGATTGAGTTTCTTTCCTTTCTTCCTCTTCCTTCCCCTATTTCTTGTCCCTTTGGTTTTTAGCTTTATATTTTTTCACTTTCTTTTTGCTGTCCCACCCATGGAAATATTTCCCGGTGGGTCTGGCTTATCCCCTTCGAAAGAAGTGAACAAAGGAGACATAATAATAAACTACTAGACGTACTAGCGAACGTTGGGTACATCTAGGCATCAGCGTTGTACTGTCGTTGAAATGTTATTGTATCGCAGACCAAACTGGCAGTGATGCTTACTTGTATGATAGCAACAAAGTAACGGCCAAAAGCCAAGAGTATAACAAACCTCTACGAAAGAGAGAAGAACACATACTGCAAAATGTAATACTTAAAAAGAAGAAAGGAAAAACAGTACGAAGTAGTGGTTGCGACTTCGGCGATGATTTGTAAGAAAGGGTTTGCTTCCCACACCGGAGCTCGCGCTATTCCGCCGACTTTACTTTACGGAGAGTCTCTGTAAGTTTGTATCCCTGGTGATGTTTGTGCCTGGAGAGCACTATATAAGTGGTGCTCTTCAGGCACAATCTTCCTCAGCCTACTCAAGCTCAACTGATGAGGGGTGAATTCCCCGAAACACTGTGTATTGAGCAGGGAGTGGTGCTTTCTTGCAGGTTTGCCGAGTCGAAGGTTCGATGGACTTCTCGTGTGCTCTGGATGGCAGTCGTGAGTCAGTCAAGTGTCAAGTAAAGTCGGCGGAATAGCGCGAGCTCCGGTGTGGGGAGCAAACCCTTTCTTAGAAGAAAGGAAAAAGAAGAAGAAAAGGAAGGAAAATGTCGGGTGTGCAGACTGACTAGCCAGCAGCGGAAGCGGACGACACATCAACAGACTGTTCGGGTTTGTTTCATGCGTGTTTCGTACTACAGTAGATAAGAGGCATAATCATAATTGTTCGTTCGGCAAACTCCGTGAGACCGGGGAGGAGAAAGAAAGGGAAACATACGAAACGGTGAGTGAAAATGAAGTGTCCAGGACTCCAGGTATCTTTCTGCCATGGCATGAATTATTATTATTATTTTATTATTATTATTATTATTATTGTGTATCAGCAACAAAAAACAAAAAAGTGAGAACGAATGATAATAATAACAATAATAAACAAGAAGGTGACAAAACACATTTAGGCACAAGTGGCAACAACGTTGCCACACTACACAACAGAACATTATTTGAACAATTTTAAGGTAATAACACTATCTTTCTGGACACACAAATTCGGCTTATGAATGCGCTGACAAACAGCTTCCAAAACTTGTAACTGCAAAAGATAACCATGACGAGCACGGCACAAAACAGAAAAACAGGAATCAGAATAAGTACGACAACAGTCAGTACTAGAAACCAAATGATTGTATACTGAAGACTTGTTATTACGAGACGGACGCACACAATCTCGACTCACGCGCACACCCTCACACTCACTCTCACCCTCACTCAGCTCACCTTCTCCCTCACTGTCCGAATCAGAACCTGCTCCGTCATCCACCGCGGTTTGACTCTCCTCCTCACTTGCATCGTCCTGCGTCTCACCTTCACCACCCACGCCAACCCTGAATGCCGTTGCCTTCACGTCAGTCGTCGTCCTTTCCGATTGTTTCCTTTGTATTTTTACCGTGAATTCATAGGTCCGGTTGTAATCTGCTGTAGATCTCCGTGGTCTGTCATTTGCTGCTTTGTTTTGTGGATTAGTTGTTGTTGTTGTTGGATGTGAACCTGGTGTTGTTGTTGGATGTGCAGCTGGTGTTGTTGTTGCAGCCATGGTTGTTGGTCTTTCTGTTGGATCCAGCTCTGGTTCCGGTGGGACAAATCGACCGCCGCGGGTGCTAACACTATCTTTCTGGACACACAAATTCGGCACAACACCAGGTT